GCAGCACTCCCACCGCATGGGCTGCTCCCTCCTGCTGACGATTCTTGGCTGGCCCATGGCTGGCTCCCCTGGAAGGTCTCCTCACATGTCAGGAATAGCTCCTGCCGAGTCAGCCCCCCCCTCCCCCCCAGCTGTCATTCCTGGCCCCTGTGCAGCCCATTTGAGAGGCTTTCCCTCCCGCTGGGGGCTTCACATACACGCCCTGTGCCCTCGGGAGGGGACTGGTGCAACACACAAGGGCAAGGCAGCGCCCCCCTTCACCCCCTCCCCTGGCCGCTGCTCAGGTGAAGCTGTGGAGAACGGGGCAGGTGGGCTGGGCGAGGCTGCGTCCTGAGGAGCGTTCCAGCCCCTGCTGACCAGGCCCGGCTCTGCTGGACGGTGCTCGCCAGCTGGCAGAGTGTCCCAATCTGTGGGCCCGGGAGCTTCACAAGTGTCCCAATCTGGGGCGAGCAGGGGAGCTGACAGGAAGGCAGGTTTACACAATGAGCCCTCTGGCAGCTCATGGCCTTGGAGGCCTGGCCTTCGTCTCCCATTCATCTGGGGAGCAGATGGGAGGCCCTCTCTGCCCCACCTCCGGTGGCTCCTCTGAAAAATGCCCCCCCCCGCCCCCCCTCCCCCCGTCAGGGAGAGAAAGGGGGGTCCACCTACTGTCACTCCTGACGCCCCTCCCCTCCTCTAAGCCCCCCAAGCCTGGCACTTCCACCCAAGAGGAAGAGGAAGTTCTCGGTCCCCAGGGGCACCCCCAGCTCCCAGACCCGTCCTGCCATCCTGCGGGCCCAGGGGGAGCGGTGCCTGTCGGAGGTGGAGGGGTCACGGAGCAAACAAAAGGGGGAGGGGCAGCGGCGCCCCGAAAGGGAAGCGGGCGCAGCCGGGAAATTCCTGAATGACTCGGTCCTTTCCAGAGGGATTCCTGACATGTGCCATAGCCAGGGGGCGCGCCGCTGGGGGGTGCTCTCCGCCGCACCCTCTCCCCACCTGTACCAGACCTGGGCCACCGGGCTGAGCGGGGAAACTGAGGCCCAGAGAGGGGATGAGCTGCTCAAGCCACACCAGCGAGGACAGAGCTGGGCTGAGTGAGGCCCCCAGGAGCCTGTCCCGGCCCAGCCCGGGTCCCAAAAAGGGAAGGCCCTTCAGTAGGGGTTCGGCAGCCTGAGTGTGAGTTCGGACTCCGCCACCCGCCTGCGTGCCCTCGGCATCTCCCCATTCCCGCGAGGCCCCACAGTGAGGGCTCTGTCCTTAGCGGACCACCCTACAGCCTCCCCTAGGACACCTCCTCCAGGGAGCCCTCCGCGCCTCTGTGAGGCCACGGGGCCACCCAGAGTGGGATCCCCTTGTGGCCCAGAGAGTTGGGGTGGGACTGTCCCGGCGCCCCGAGCTGGGATGGGGGTGGCTCTGTGACGCAGAAACGTGGTCCTGAACTGGGGGGGCGGGGGTGGGGGAGAAGGAGAGGAGGGGACTTCCCAGTTAGCCAATCAGAAGCAGCCCTTGGACAATGGGTGGGAGGCAGACCCGATCCCTGTTGGCCTTGGGTAAGGGTCCCGCGCCCCAAATACGGGGTGGCCCCGGCCACCGCCCCCTTTAGTCCTGCCAGGTATTCAGGAGAGTGTTGAGTTTCCCTGCGATACACTGTTCCTCTGTGTTGTAAACCACTGTCCTTATTTTAAAGCAGGTCGTATTTGTTTCCCAGACTGCCTTATTTTGTGTTTAGCGAAGAGTCAGTTTGTGGCTCAGCCTCTGGGTGGCAGTGTTCTGGGGTTGGCCTCTGAGGCTATACGGCTTCTCTATCACACTTAAAACTGGTTTGGGGAGGTCAACTATCCAGAGCTTGTTCCTTAATCATTACCCGCTCTGTGTTGTTGCTGGGATTGAAAATCCCTCTATAGGCCAGACCCTGTTAACTGCCAGGGACTGATCAGATTATTTTAATCCTTGATCTCATTCAGGGTGGAATCTGGGTGTGGCTGTGCTCCTTGCCTGGGGGCCAGGTAGGGGAGTCCCCCC